CCTACTCAGAGTGGCCTGGCCAGAGTAGCCCGAGGAGGGGCTGCTTCCGGCACTCTGCGCGGAGGTCCTGCCTTCTGCTGTCCCTGGAGGCTCTGTTCCCGTTTCGCCAGCTATTTTGCTTCCTCGGCCATCTGTTCCCTCCCTGTCATCTCCTCTCTGCTTTAACCTTAACCACTACTTCACTGCAGATGGTACCAAACAGATCCGTTCTTGACATCCTTCACAATGCCTGCCCCCTCCTTCCCTTCTCCGCAACTGAACTTCTGCTCTGTCCTTTTTCAGGCTTGGACTCCAAACTTGGGTTGGACTCACCCCTCTTCCATCCCATCTGCTGCCAACTCAGTCACAGGGGGTCAGGGGGCAACTACCTCCCCTTTCCCGGGCCCTTCCCTTCTCCTAACAACATATTTTCGTTGCAGACTTGGCCAAGAACCTCTCCTGGCATCAGGTGCGCCGTCTGCTCACTTATCTACCTGGTCTCCACAAATCCAAGCCCTTTAAGATTCCAGAGGGCTTGGGTTGGTGGGATCCGTTCCTGAGGTTGGGGAGCCAGTGTGCCCAAGCTGGGTTCTGAACAGCGTCGCTGTAGAAAATAAACCTGAAAACTGCATTGAGGCATTGGCCTCATTTTGGCATGACAGGAACTGAACCAAAACACATTTTCTACATTGTTTAACTCACAGGGGCATGTTGCCTTGTTTTTCTTGCTTTCATTCTGGCTTCTGGGGAGAAAATGCTTGCATAGACCTTATTTAGCAACTCTATCTTTCCTTTCTGTTGGGGTGTCCTGGTGCTCCCCTAAAATTCCTCCTCTAGGCTCCTATTTTTCTGGCATAGGGCTAGGAGCTTTCTGGAGAGCAGCAGCACAGAACTTCCCAATTAAAGAAGCTGTTTTAGAAACTGGTTCCAACAGGCTATACTCCTTGAGTGTGACAGAACTGGTCAGGGGAGACCAAAATTCTACTTGTGTACCTGTAGTTGGCCTAAAAAGCCTCCTACTTACCCACTTAAAGAGGACTCTAGTCCCCCTCTACACTTCCTCTGCAAAAGAGTGAGTTGGCATCTCCATTGGGGCCTACGAGGGCCATATGAGCAACAGTTCAAGTGGTAGAATCTGTTCACCCCTGACCACAAGGAAACACTCTGATTGCCAAGGGAACCTCTGGATTCAACTAAGCCAGGCACCTGACAACCCCATGGTCCCTTTCTCTATCTATATTCCCTTTTCCCACAGAAAAGAGTCTAGCTACCAGGCCAGTCCATCTAGCTATAGAAACCCAAAAAACAAAATGCATCTTACTGGGTTGCAGGCCCGAATCTAGGTCTTGCTGAATTATTTAGGGATGGCATTAACTTATAAATGAGTGTGTTTGACTGATTTTGTGGTTGATGTACAGATAAATTCTAATGAAAGACAGCTACAAGATTTTAAATTATTAATTAGACTGCCACTTAACAAAGCCTATTTGGCACTCTATTTCCTTGCTTAACAAGACAAAAACTTTAAGGTTCTGTATTAGCCCAGAGGCTGTTGATTTGCATTCTGTTTTTATAGCTCTAAAAATGAAAATCATAGATCCTGACCTTAAGCAGGACACTTCTGGCAAAGCTAAACCCCCAGCAGGCCACCCTTCTTCCCTGAATGATGCTGGTTGCCTTGGGGGCCTCCGTTCCCCTACCCGCTTCTCATCTCTGACCAGAGGTTGGCTTTTTATATCCCTGGTTCTGCCAGGGTAGGCCAGGAGATAAAAAAGCAGACAAGGCAGCTGCTGAAGCCTTAGCACTGTCAGCAACAAGACCCACTAAGGAGTCCAGGCTGTTCTGGTTCACAGAGGTAAGGCTGTGGCCAGTAGAGTCAGTTCATTATGAGATGCAAGGTAGCAATCCCAGTTCCCAAAATGTTCTACCAGAGACAGCACCAAGCCCTCTGTAATAGAACCACCAGACATGAGAGACATGACCTTCATGTCTAATGCCTTCTCTTACCTTCTTTCTCTGGGGTTTCATACCAATGAACCACCAAACTCCAAAAAACACTCCATTGTCATACAGCGGGGGGGGGGGGGGGCCCGGGTGGTGCAGGGGTTAAAGGCACAGGGTTATCAAGCTGTAGGCAGCCATTACAACTTGAGTTCCTTCCCTGCCAGGGATATAACCCAAAAGGTGCATCAGATCTCCCCTGTCTCTTCCACTGCTCCCCTTAGCAGTGTATTTCAGTAGATCCATCTGTTCTGTTCCCCACTTTGTCTCTGGTGAATCCTCATCCCTACACCTCTGGCCTACACCCCAGTTCTTATATGCATAAATAAAAATAATTTTTTTTTTTAAAGAAGGCTCAAAACAGGGGAGGGAAGGGCACAAGGGACTATGGTGATGGTCACTAGTGCTGCAGTAGTGGGATAATTATGGGGACTAAACATGAGGGGAGAAATCAAATATTGGACAAAAATGAAAAACGATGTAAGAAATTTTAAAATAAGGTACTTTCCCCCCCCTCGTTCGTTTCCACCCCCAGGATGTAGAGAGGGCTTCATCTTTCATTTTTCCAAATCATAATTAAACTATGAACTCCCTTGGATCTGGAACCCCCATGCAGGCTTTGCACCTATCTGCAACAGCCATCTGAACCCATTTTACAGCATTTTTGCTTGGAACTTTTGGGAATAATCCAAGCAGCAGAAGCTTCAATGGCCACCTCCCTTGGCATTAGCCTCTGGCATATCTTGGGCTTTGGGCACATACCTAGAATCCACATGGAGAATCTGAAAGACCTGTATGTCTGTGCAAAAGTGACAAATCCTAAGGTTCAGGATCAGGGGTTGAGGGGGAAATATATCCAGAAATGGGCCCAAATAAAAGTCCTTTGTCCACACAATGTCCCAGCAGCAGGTTCTAGGCCAAAGCCAGCCTTGCAAAGGACTTCTTTGCTGTTTCCCTCTGGCCAATTCAGGTGGAAACCTCTTTGTTGGTGGAACCTCTCCCGCCAACCAAGCAGTGCAGGAAGGGAAAAATAGCCTGAGTGGTGAACACACGTGACTGCGAAGCCTCCAGTGGCCACCTCTTGAGCAGGGTAAGTGAGCCTCCCCCTCCTGGGAACAGCCCCCAGAATGCACTGGGCTTATCTTGAGCTGTGCCTCTGGCTTGCAAGGATGGGAGAAGGCTGGCTCCTGGAGGCTGCACAAGCCTCCCTGGGCACCTAAGCCATATCAATAAAGTGTGTGGGCTGCTTCGTGGCTCATTTTTAACTGTAAACTGCCAAAAGACAAAAGACCAAAAGGGAAATGAGATGTCAGTTCCTCTCTATTATCATCTGCAGGCTAGACATGGCGGCCTTTTAAAACTGCCTGGGAAGCAGTCTCCACTGGGTTAAGTCCGCAGCTCCAGGTCCAAGTTTTTCAGACCTGGGCCTGTGCTGAGCTCTGTGAAAAGCACACTCTGTGCAGAGACATTCTAACCAGCACTGCTGTTTGCTGAAGGGACTTTGTCTCTTTCTGCAGGGAAAAGAACCTGGGGTTTACCGTGAAGTGGCTTCTCCAACTAGCGGCAGACTTTCCCCACACCACAAAGAAAGGCAGAGAGCGGTTTCCAACCCTTTTCTACCACCCCCACCCCTCAACATCACCGATCCACGTGGAGGGTACGAGTCACACACAAGTTTGTGACTATTGACACGATGGGACAATGGAGGCTAGACAGAGCTAGTCAAGCCCAACACAGCCTTTGCTGTTCCCAGTGAAAGCGTTTTTTCTTCAAACACCTGTCCAACCTGCTTATCAGCTTCTCTTGGCCCCCACATCTGCTCCAGCTCGCCCATTCTGAAGCTTAGCTTCCCCTACCTTCGCCACCTCCCCCTGCCCATTTTCTCCTTCCCCATCCTACTGTGAGGTCAGAATCCTATGCTTACGACACCTCGGTCTGTTGCCATGGAAACAGGGGCGGATTAAGGCTGGAGCTCCGAGCGCAGGGATCAGGCCCCTCCGCTACCTGAGCTCCAGTCTCAGCTCACTCCGATAGGGTGGGGGCAGCCCGCCGCAGGCGCCGCGGGTCTCCAGCAGCCCAGCCGCGGCCAGAATGAGGCAGTCTCGGGAAGGGGCTGGGGCGCGGCGGTCCGCCCCGGCCCAGGAGGGGAAAGAGGCAGACGTAGAGATACGAGCAGCTGATGGCGGGGCCCGCGGGATCACGGCGTGGTCACCTGCCCTCTCGGGGCCCTGGGGACCGCTCCCCGCGCGGCAGCCACGTGGGGGCGCGGCGGGACTTCCCCAGAGCCCAAGCCAACTTTGCAGCGCTGGGCAGTGTGCCGGACTGCCGCGGGCTGTAGCGAGGTGGTCGCCGGGCCATCTCTCTTTAAGTTGAGCCTGGCACGGGCCGCGCACACTGCGGGTCTGGCCTCCACTTTCGCAACCCTCGGCTCTAGGCGTAAGGAAAGTTTGACGAACCGAACATCATGCGCTAGCCAGTCCTCCTTGGCCGCTGGGTGACCAGAACCCGTCCCTGAGGACCAGGCAGATCTGCAGGAAAGGTGCCCGCGTCCGGGCCCCGCCTGGATAACTAGAGCGCACAATGAGCGCTCCGGCGCGCAGTGATGGACAGCTGACTGCACTGGAGCTCCGATTGGCCCTGGCCCCTCCAAAGCGGCAGAAGCTAGCGGCTGGTGCCGAGCAAGGGATGGAGCCTGCGAGTGCAAAACTTTATAATGACAAAGCAAAGGTCCCAGGAGACCAGTTCCCCTCCATCACTGACAGCTCACTATGGTCTCGAAATGACCTCGTGGAGTTCGACCCCCCTAGGCCTGGCCGCTTGATCCTTGGAACAGATGTGTGTCGCACCGGCCACCGACCAGGGCTGAGATACAGCAGCAACCCCACCGCGGGTGCGTCCCCACAAAGCCCGCCAGCCCGCCGGCCCGGAGCAGCAGCACCTGGCTGCTCTCGGGCGTTTCCCGGGCTCGGGGCTCTCTCACGACCGTTCAACTCCAACTTGCCCCTACGGCTTCAACTCACCTTTGCGAAGCATGTTGGCCGCGGGGCGCCACTCCGAGGTCGGCCTAGCGCGCTCCCTCCCGGGGTCCGGATTCAAATCCTTGGGTGCCGGCTGCAGCTAATCCGAGCGCTTCGAGGCGGAGGCAAGCCGGGGATCCGTTTGTGCCCGGCGGCCAGGCCCCGCAGGGGCATGGTGAGCCTGAGCCCCGCGCCGAGGACACTAGAGCCCACCAGCAACCGCGGCGCTGCCCAGCAGCCCCGCGCGCCCGCTCAGCCCCGGGGTGAGCGGCTCGCTCCTCTGAGCCGGCGGCCTGCTTCTGCAGCCCAAAGCACTTTGCAGGCGGTTTTGAGGGGGGACGCCGCCCCCCGCCCTCCCGGCCGCCCGACCGTAGCCCCCCCTCTCCGCCCCCTCGGGCAGCAGGCGCTGGGGCTGCTGCAAAAGGGCGCTCGCACGCACCGCCGAGCTCCGGGGAAAGCGCCCGGCGCGCGTTTGCAGGACCTAGCGTTCGGCGGAGCGGGGCGCCTCCCTTCCTCCCCCCCTCCCCGTTTTCCCCCACCTCTCCTCCTCCCTCCCTCCCTCCTTCGCTAGCTCCCTCCCTCTCGCTCCGTTCCCCGCCCCCGCTCACGGAGCGCCTCCCATACAAAATTTATGAAAGTGCTCTCAGCTCGCGGTGCCGAGCGCCGTCCTATTCCCAGGACAGCGGCGCTCAGCCGCGCGGGCGCCGCCTCCCAAGGTGTTTTCGTTGCGCCCGCCCCCGGGGACGAGCTTCTGCCCGCGTCTGTCCAAGTACCTGCCTCAGACCCCTGGCCGGTCGTCGGGCCACTCGAAAGCCCCTCCCAGACCCTGTGAGCTTCCCGGAGCTCGAATCCGCAACCCAACCCCCGCCCGCTCGCCCTTCGCGGCTGGAGGTCACCGAGAGAAGCGGCTGGAAGCGTGCTTTCTGCCCGCTTGACTGCTGGGACGGGTGGACTGCCGCCCAGAGCGCCCATCACAAGTCCGCGTCCCCTGCCCATCTCCCCTCTGACCCTCTAGCCTTCCTCCTGTAAGACTCGACGGCTCCTTCCCCAGCACAGCTGCTGCGAACTTAGCCGCCTCGTACCCCTTGTCCCAAGATGTGATTATTGGGGGGGGGGGGGGGCGTGCCCCCAGTCTGGACTAGACCACTCAGCTTGTATTCGCTGAGGCTCAGCTGCAAATCCTAGAGACAGAATTTCATGAAGGATCCATCCGGGACCCGGGATGGGCCATCTCAGCCCAAAGAGGCCTCCGATCTCTCTCGTTTACAGACCCTGCCACAGGGCTTTGTGGAAAATAGAGGGGCGGTACCTCTAGAAAGCCCGTCTCTTAGTGGGGTGGTTGAGCGGAATGTAGAGAAAGCTCAAGTCAAGAGAGATCCTGGGTGGACCCAGCACCCCCTACTGGCCTGGGATAAGAGGGGCTCTAGGGGAAGAAAAAGAGTGTGCCAAGTCACTTATTCCAGTGCCTTTATTAAGGGCTGATATGTGAAGCACTATGATTCCTGGAGACTGAGCCAATGGAGAAGACAAAACCCCTGTCTTCATGGAGTATGCAATCTAATAAAGACAAAAATGAGAAAAGTTTAGATGAATTGGTGTTTGGTAGATAAGCAAACAGGGAATGCTCTGGAGTTGACATGAGAAGACAGGAAAAGCTGCTCTGAGCAAGTAACATCTAAGCAAACATCTAATTGAAATGAGAAATTGAGTCATGTGATTCCTTGGAGAGAAAATCTGGCATGGAAGGAAGATAAAAATGTCCAGTATCATTCATTCAAACATGCCTTTGATGACACTGGGGCTCTGGGTAAACAGACTTCCAGAAGCTTTAGGCATAGTGGGAAATGAAATATTCAAAAGCCATCTTAGAAGGTGACAGGAGGGAATAGTGTAGAAGGGACTCTGTTCTGTGAGAAGAGTAAAGGACCATTAGGGAAGGCTTCGCAGAGGAGGTGCCATTTGAGTTAGGTCTTTTTAAATATTTACCTTTGCCTAGAACTGGAACATAGTCCAGAGGTATGTGGGGTGAGAATTCACAAGAGACAGAATGGGAAGTAGAATAGGCAGATCTATTGAAACACACTGCTAAGAGGAGCAGAGGGTGAGACAGAAGTCTGCTGTGCCAAGTGGGTCAGCTCCCTGGCTGGGCATCAAACTCAGGCCACAGAGGTGATAGAGCTAAGACTTAACCCCTCTGCCACCAGGGAGGCCCTGAGTTATGTCAGTGCCTCAGTTCATCAGCCTGAGGAGGGAAAAGGCCATTCCAGGCAATAGAGGATGTGCAAATGCTTGAAGGTGAGAAAGTAACCTTGTTCTCTCTGAAGACTAATAAAATTGGCCCATCTTGGGACAGGAACAGAAAGAAAGGCATCCTTCCCCTTAGCCTCAACCAGCTGGGCTGATCCCACTTATATCTGAGTCCTGCCAGGCAGAAGCTAAATGGAACCCCACGGCACTGAAGAGCTACAGAGGCCCTCCTCAAGCAGTCTGAAGCCCAGTGAGGGACTTGTTCAATGCCATACAGCAGATCTGTGTCAAAGTGTGGGTCTGAATCCGTGTATGTTAATCCTCCTTCCTCCTCCCCAAGACGCCTCCCTATGACCCCCTGCCCCATAAACGCCAGCATCTAAGGCAAAGTTGGCTGGGGCTGGGCGTGAGTGTAAAAAGCAAAGTTATTTCAGGCCTCAGGAGGGTTGGGTGCTGCTTTGGAGTCCAGCCAGGGGGTGGGGGCGACTGTAGGCGGGTGTTGTGGTGTAATGTGGGGTACACTGTGCCTGCCTTCTTGTCAGGCAGTAATTACTCAGCTGCTGAGTAACTCAGGCAAGGAGACCCCCCGCGGACAGATGGAGGTGTTCTCAGCTCAAATTGAATGACAACCACCAACACCCTACACTGTAGGGTCTTGAGAGACAAGTTCACATCTGTCCTTGATGTCTGAATCTCCTGGACAGCACCTGGGGTCCAGGGCAGCTCAATCAGAATGGAGGCAATGTTTTAAGAGGCTAGGTGCCTTCCATCAACTGTCCTTACTTTTTCCTAGGGAAAGGCCGCATGGCATAAGTGCTCACTAGGGAGAAACTACTACTCTGCAGCAACAGATCTTTCTCCCTTGGATCTCACAGCTGCCACCAGAGCTAAAGATGCTCACAGGCTGACACTTAGTGTACTGAATGGGAAGGAGAGAGTTCAGGAGGTTCCTGGAATTGAAATCCCACAACCTGGGTGTCCAGAGGAACCTGGAGGAGATGGGAGGTTCCAGGTGAGATTCTCACTAAAGGTGAGAGGGGAGGTTCCTGGGGCCTGTGTTGGCCACATTCCTATCCAAAGCTTTAACTGTCCTAAGAGCAATGGTCAGTTAATAGAGTGTTGACCCTTTCTGATTCTCCCCTTGGCTGCTCACTCCCAGCCTGCTCAGCCATCCCTTCTCTCAGGGCAGCCTCCCAGGCTAGGGCCTGTCCCTGGCTGCTTGTTTTTCACTTCTCTTTGCACCTTAATTAGGAGTTTCCAAGCAGGGAGGGCCTCCAGGGGAGCCTGAGGCCACAGAGCTGTCTTAAAGGGCCAGCTGTGCTCACTTCACCACAGCAGAGAGAGGAAGAAGGTGCCAGGGGGCTGGGTGGGCAAATGGCCCTGGTGGATTATTGTTCTATGGACAGGCCTTGATGAAGGCCAGTCCTACCGGTACTTTGCTCTTCCAAAGGTCAAGGCTGTCTCACTGGCTGCTCTGCCTTGTTTTTGGGATTCCAGGAGCTCAGACCACTGATAATGAGAAAGGTTATCTAGGTCTGAGGAGCAGCCTAGACAGGGCAAGCGTTAGGCAGTATAAAGGTTTTGACAATGCGTTTTGGACTGCCCCACTTCTTCAGGAAAGCATCTTCAGGATGGAGGTATTCCCTGATAGCAGTTTTTCACATGTTAACCTTCCACACTATTGGTTCTAAAGATGATAAGGGCACCTTGGTGCTCTGAACAATCAGCACCAAGACTCCATTTGGAGTTGGGCTGGTGGATTTTGAGTTCTGTCCTGTCCAAACAGTGGTGGGTGAGGAGGTCCTCCAAGGTAGGTTATGTGTTCCCAAACTTGCAGCATCCACTGGGTAACTGGAGGAGAGACTGGGAGTGGAGCTGAAGGAGACTTGGCGGTGTCCTCATTCACAAGGCTTGGCCCCCAGAATTAGTGCGGGACTCGGCAAACAGGAGCACTGTCCTGGGAGAATGAAGTTCCGGCAGCCGGGAGGGGAGGAGGGGACCCCAGCGCTGGGAGTGCGCAACCGTGGTGGTCGAGTACCGCTAGGGGCTCCCGAGAGTCCGACCTTTCCCGCAGAAGCGGTCCGTGAACAACCCCGCCCTTTTCTCTTCCTTCAGGGTCTCCGCCCAGCAAATCCCCGCCCCTCGCGGGCTGATCGACGATCGATCGCGATGTCTGCTCTCTCGGCGTTCTTCTAGCTCTGCCTTTTTAGTCCCCACGTGGGCAGGCAGGTGATGGCGGCGCTAGTAGCTTCCGAGACGGCGGAGCCGGGCGGCCGAAACGGCCCAAGCAGAGGTGGGTGCTACCAGGGTGCGGCCTCTGTGTTTCCTAATAGGGCCTCCAAGTCAAGGACAAAGCCTCTCCCCTTTAACGACGGCTGCACCTTTCTCCTCCAGATCGGGAAGTCTCCGCCGTCACTGGCTCTGGCGGCTGTCAGCTGGAGCCCAGGGGAATCGGTCTCTGTCAGCCTTAGGGGGCTATCCGGCAGCCCCTCCTAAAAACTTGTAGTCCTCGAGCGGACAGGTTGTCTCTGCCTTAGCTGGTAGACTGACGCGGGAAGATTCGCGGAGAAGACGGACCCGACCAGATGGGAGGGAGGCCAGGGCGCTGCCGCTGGCATTCCACAAACTGGCCCTCAGGGAATGCTTTCTGGGAAGAGACACGCGGTTTCATTCACCAGGCACTTATAGCGCGCCCGCTGAATGCCAGGCCTGTGCTACGTGTGGGGACTAGAATATAGCCCTGCCCTCAGGGATCTCAGTCTACCTGGGAATACAGGTGTAAACAAAGCACAGCCACGTGACAAAGGACGAGGCGCCTTCTGGCCCTGGAGACAAATTGAGCTAACACTAGCAGCTCCCACACCCAAGGAACACAGGAAACTTGGCCCTTTCAGAGGAGCTTCTGTTGGTCTGGTTGTTTCAAGGCCTTTGAAACTTTGAAACAACCGAAGGAAAGCCAGAGTAGTGACAACATGCAAATCTGGTTTCAAGATTCCAGCCTGCTATTTCTCCACTGCACCACCACCACTTGCCCCCTTCCTCTCCCTAGCGTGCAGATTCAGGTCTGGGTGGGTGGATACCTGCTATCACAGTAATGAATCCTAGCAGAAGTTCTGCCACATAGTAATGGCTCAGTAACTATTTGTTCAAAAATTAATTTCTTGGCATGCTACTTTTTCATCTGGCTCCTAAACAGATGTTGATCTAAACTGAATCATGGGTAGTAGGAAGCAG